AAGCTCCGCCTCCTGGGTTCACGCCATTCTCCGGCCTCAGCCTCCCGAGTAGCTGGGACTACAGGTGCCCGCCACCTCGCCCGGCTAGTTTTTTGTATTTCTTAGTAGAGACGGGGTTTCACCGTGTTAGCCAGGATGGTCTCGATCTCCTTACCTTGTGATCCACCCGTCTCGGCCTCCCAAAGTGCTGGGATTACAGGCTTGAGCCACCGCGCCCGGCCGGGGCTTTGTTTTTAAGTGTATGTTTTTGTAATTGTTACATACTTCTTTATTTTATTATTATTTTTGAGATGGAGTCTTGTGTCTCGCTCTGTCGCCCTGGCTGCGGTGTGGTAGCACTGTCTTGTCTCACTGCAACCTACGTTTCATTGATTCTCCTGCCTCAGCCTCTGGAGTAGCTGGGACTACAGGCGTGCGCCACCATGCCCAGCTAATTTTTTTTTTTGTACTTTTAGTAGAGATGAAGTTTCACCATGTTTCCCAGTGTGCCCTTGAACTCCTGACCTCAGGTGATCTACCCGCCTTGGCCTCCCAAAGTGGTGGGATTACAGTCATGAGCCACCATGCCCGGCCTTAATGGTTACATATTTCTGATGGATTGACCCTTATTGTAAAATGTCTTTGTCTCTATTAACAGTTTTTTTCTTAAACGTTTGTTTTGTGTGATACTAGTATAACCATTATAGTTATCTATAGTGGTTTGCTTGGTATATCTTTGTTTTGTTTTTGTTTTTGTTTTTGTTTTTTCCTCAAGCTATATGTGTCTTAATCTGAAGCAGGTCTCTTTTAGAGAAGGTATGGTTGGAGTGTGTTTGTGAATTTGTGTGTGTATTTACTACATTCTGCCTGTCTTGCATTTAATATATTTATTGACAATGTAGGGCTCTTTTGCTGTTAATCTTTCTATCTCTTGTCACCTTTGTCCCTCTGTTCTTCTATTATTGCCTGTCTTACTGTTAAATAAATATTTTGTAGCGTACCATCTTAACTCCTTTGTTTCTTTGACTTTATTTTTTGTTTTGTTTCTTAGTGGCTGCCTTGGGTATTAAAACTAAGATTTTAACTTATTCCAATCTTTTAGTTTCAGTAGGATCCAAAATTTTCCTTTAGTATGGCTTCGTCCCCTTTGCCTTGATTTTTGCCATTATTGTCATACAAATTATACCTTTATACATTATATGGTCACCAAAAGGCTTATAATTCATGCAGTTATTTTTTTGAGGCAGGGTTTCATTCTGTTGCCCATGCAGGACACGATCACAGCTCAGTGCAGCCTCAGCCCTCCAGACTCAAAGCAATCCTCCCGGGTAGCTGGGACCACAAACATGTGCCACTACACCTGATAAATTTTTTTATTTTTTGTAAAGTTGAGGTCTCAGTATGTTGCCCAGTCTGGTCTCGAACCTCTGGGCTCAAACTGATCTCCCGTTTTAGCTTCCCAAAGTGTTTGGATTACAGCAATGAGCCACTGCACCCAGCCTGGTTGTTCTTTAATTAGAAGATTCATACTGTCCTTCATATTTACCTGTGTATCTTTGCCAGTATTTTTTCATACGGATTCAGGTCAGTGTTCAGTGTCTTTTCATTTCAGC